AAGACAATGCATATATCAATTTTATTTCCAACTGTCATTTTATCTGAAATTTACAAGTACTCTATTCAGATAGATTTGTTAACTTACCTTTATTGCTTTCTATCATGAATCATGACCGGAAAAAAATTCAAGATTCATGCAATAAAGATAAATACATTTCGGAATTTTATTACTTATAAACATAACGATATTAAATGACATTTTTAAATTTACTCTTATAAAGAAAAGATAAATGGATATATTTTTCGTAAAAATAAAGAAATTTAAATCAAAAAGATTGCTTATTTTTCAAACAAAACGCAAATATTTAATTTCCTGAAATATTTAAAACAATTGTAATATCATAATTACAAAAGTACATGGACAAGAATTCTTCTATATATTTTTTCCTGTAGCGCCCTTGATTTTAGTTAACATTGAATGTTTGGGTGTCAATTGTAAGAAAAACAAATGTTGATTAATGCTTGTATATACCATACATTAATACAGAATATATCGACATTATTGACCCCCATTGCGGAATATATAAACAATAAACTTTTTATTTAGAAAATGAACCTGCTGAATCATATGATATCTGCATTGGAGAGATGAATGCATGTGGTATACTAACGTGTGCTTGTTATACTTCTTCCTCTTCTATCTATGTTCAGAAAACAATTGACAGCAAAAAAAGTGCTGCAACATAATTATAGACTCACTTTTCGAAAAAAATGATATTTTTCTCTTGTTTAGGTGTTTGCTAAGTCTCTTATTAACCATCAATGGCGTTTTATTTTTTACGTGCTGTTGTGATGACAGCTGTTTTCAAGTTTTCCCGTTATAAATGAGTTTCCATTGGAATTGTTTTCGTATCAGAATTTCAAAATTTTAGATTTCTTCTGTATTTTTTACGGTTTTAAGCCAAACCCTATTCATAAAAAATGTTTTCATAGACCAGATACATATAGACGTAGGGTGCAAGTATGAGTGTGGATAAGTATAGAATAAGACAATTACACAGTCACATATCCATCAACGATACATTACAATTAAAAGAGAAGAACATATTGCATAATATGCCTTATCAGTATCATAAACTTCATCCAAGAAGACACAAACTTCCACAAAACATATTTAAACGAGCATTCATCACCGAATCATCCATCAACACTGACGAAATTATTTTGATTTTCGATTTTAATCTCTCACACGAAACCTCTTACCAAATTATATTCAAATTCAAAATGTTACACTATTTGACTTTTTTCATGAAGAATACGGGCTCAACCAGTGGTTAGAGTCGACTTACAGCCGCTCAAATAGGTAGCTTTGGGTTTGATCAGCATTTCGACATTATATTTCGAACGTTTCAAATGACAGAGGTTCTCATAGGTGACAAATTTATCATATTTTACTATTCCATAAATTCGTTATAGAACTAGTGCACGTCAGATACTGATCAAAATCCAAAGCATGCATTGGTTCACAATAGCTGTGTTTTGATGTTTTTTTCAAGCTGAATAGAATATTACAAGAAAGGTCTTTTTACCGAACATAGATCTTGCCATGACACATGTTTTGATGTAAAACTGTCTAGACAAAAACAGTCACGGTCAAGTTAGAATGTATTCCAATGGGGAGTGATCCACCCAACACCCATACATCATAGTCACAATTTGACTTACGTCCTATCGATCTTATTATGTTTGCGATTGAGTGCGTGCTCGTATGAAACGTATTCTCGAACGAATAGTGATCAGAGTTCAAATTAATGTCTCTGTACGCATGAGAAGTCTTACTTGGTCATCAAATTAGCTTTCACGGGGTTGATGGGGCAGGATGAAGACCAAGTGCGTGAAACAGATACGGAACACTTGAGACTCAATGAGGTGCCGTATACGGGATATGACGCGACAATTTTCTGCTCACTTTTAATAAAAAAGAAAAGTGTTACTTCTTGATTTGGGTGACTTTGGTGATCTTCCAATTGTTTTAAATCTGTTCTTGGAATGTCAAGAAAGATAAAAGATTCATTGAACTGATTGAATGATACTCTCCAATTGTTAAACAATCTTGATTGTATGTTTTCGTAATAGTCTGACCGCTTGTGACGTAACTTTACATTTAATAAACTTGAAATCAAAAGATATGGTCTAACTCTTGCAACAAAAGCAAAGATATTTGAAATATTAAAAAGCTAATCGAGTAATACATACAATGATAAAAGACAAATAAGAAACAGCTACAAGAAGATACATTACAGCTGGTGTATTACCACCATCTTTGATAAAAAATTCCACTAAACTAGCGATATTTACAAACAGAAAAAGAATTAGAAGAACGTTACAAATTTCTGCCATAGATCATACGGAGTTTTCCACTCACGAAATGAAAATGCACTTAGAAGAAAGAACTTTTCAAATAGATTCGAGTGACAAACTTGAAAGAATTATAGTGAATGTTCATATAATTTTAATAGCGTATACCGTTAATGTATTAATTAATTGTTCTTTTTCGCATGCTGGAGTACTAACCCAAAAACAAGCCCCCCCAAAAAAATATACATATAACAGACGAAATGACCAACGAAGAACGCATTTTGTTGCCAATCTACATGCCTTCAGACTGATTCCTTCATCATCTTGATTATTTTCGAGTCTGCCAGTTAAAGCATACATAAATCAAGAGCAGAAAACGATTGAAAAAAAGACATATACTCTCGTTTTCATTGTCTTCGTTGATGGTAACAAATAGAAGTAGCCTAATAATTACGTAACTTTCACTATAAAACTGACAATCGATTGACAAATTGGATGATTGCTACATTTTCAACACAAAATGCAAATTGCATTTTGTATTAAATTAAAGCAGTTGAGCGCAAAAGCGAACATAACAAAGTTTAATGTATCAGCATCTTCGATCATGAGTACTAGTGGTACGATAGTCATTTGTTCAATCATATTAAATAGATCGATAGATGTCAGACTAATGTTTCCAAAAAATATATGGCTGTTCATCTCGATGTGTCCTCTGTCTTTCTCAATTTGTGACTATTGTAAATATCGAACAGATGCATGCAGTATTTATTATCATGCCCACGCTCACCCCTACATTTTTATCACTTTCTTTTTTGTGATAACAAATAAAAAGCAATTGTAGGATTTATAGTGAGATGATAGCATGTTCTGATCCGTTGTACTATTTTCTTTTCTTTGTCAACGCATCGACGTCCAATCGATGCATCTACACACATTCACACTCTTGATCCGATTAGTTGCTAGGTTTTTTTTATTAATGAGGTAGAAATGGCATATTGTGGAATATTGACGGATGCATGACCGATTGTAACGATCGTGATAATCCTTGACACTGTCTGTCGAAATATCCTCCCACGTCAGGTTTGCCAAAATGAGCGAATAGTGAAATCTTGGATAGAATCGGTGCTACTGTCTTCTCTCCACATTTGATATCGTAATCGATTTCAAAAACACTGGACATCGACGGTTCTGCAGACAAACTTGCATAATAATAAAAAGCACCAAATGCACCAGTAGCGAAAAGAGGGTGTGTGTGGATGCGACTGCTTCTTTAGGTGAGGACAAAGACAGGTATCTCACCCACATGCACCTTCACACTCACACCATTTTTCAAGTATCGCAAACTGTTCTTTGCATTGGGAAAAAATCGGTTGGTTTTACATAACAAAATGCGAGAGAAAGGCAACATTATTTTTTTGTTGTTCTTGACGAAGTAGGTAGTGAGTCACTGCTTATTTTTCTTTCAGCAAATGCTATGCCAATGCACAACGGAAACAGACAGGTGAGTGCTCGAAACAGACGACGACGTGTTTTTTTCTTTATGAAAACTTTTTATTGCTTCTTAATATCTTTCTGTTCTAGTGTAGAATACTACGTTATTAAAAGGATCCATTTCTTCACAACTTGGATTTAGTCTCTATCTTCGTACTTGAACTGTACACAACTTTCTACGTGTATTTGATTATGATACAGTTGGAATTTTGCAGCTTGCTCATGTATATATACGTATGAGCATAGATGTACATGCGATTTAGCTTTACATACAAAAAATCTCCGGTTATTCTTTTAACTATCGTGATTTTCACGATTTTCATATTAAATTAAATGCAAAAAGATACTTATTTTCTTTAATATATATCTTCCTACTAAACGGTAAGACGGAATTTCGCCAATAAGAATTTCGCAAACGGAATTTCGACAGTGTCCATTTTCCAGTGTAATTTCGAAAAATTTCGAAATTACACTGGCAATTCGACAATAATTATTATTAATGTATTTTTATTGTCGATTTTCCGTCGGATTTTCGACATTAAGAATTTTTCACCCAAAATACATTAATAATAATTATTGTCGGAATTCCTACGGAATTTCGACAATAACGGAAATTCGACAATATTGTCGAATTGCCAGTGTAATTTCGAAATTACACTGGAAAATGGACACTGCCGAAATTCCACAAAACCCTACTAAACATTACTGCTATCAGCTCCAATCGCGAAATGAATGCATTGGTGCCATTAAAAAAAAACCGGATGTACATCAAATACAAAAACTATTAGAAAAAGAAACAGTTAGATAGACAAATAAAAAGTTCTTACAATATATTTTTAGTTTCCTGACAATGTCGATGCACCGTTACAAGCTATTTTAAAATCTATTTTACTATAATTATTTAACGTACTGCGAATCTCAAAATCATTTTTCTCTCTGGTAATCAGGATACAGAGATCCATAAATCCTACATGAAATCCTACCTTGATGTTATGATTATTATGTTTTATCGGTAAATTATAAGTAAACTACCACAATTGATTACATTGCTTGTCTGATACTAGTTTTAGTCATTTTTGACGTATAGTGTAGACATTACAAGTTAAGTCCATTGTCTACCATTTATATTGTTTTGCTTGTCGAGAGAATTCGTTCTTTTTTTTTTATTGAGCTTTAATTTTAGATAAATTTCGAAGGAGTAAATGACAAATGGCTGACGAAATTCAAAAAATTAAAAAAGATATAGCTTTAAATAATGCAGTTATATTTATTGGTACAGATGTATCTATGTATACAACAAACTTTGAACAAGAAGTGTCTCATTGGAAAGGATTGTTGAAACATGGACTGCAACAATGTTATCGATCAGGATCGATTGGTGACGAAGAATTCGAGGATTTCAATGACATATTCCATAGTGACGCAGCACAAATTGATGATTATTTGCTTGCTGCCAATCAAATTAAGCATTATTTTCAAATAGAAAATAATAAAACAGAACCTGATCCTTATACAACATGGTTAAGAGAAACAATAGGGAGTTTAGAAGTTAAAAAACCGGAACTTATTAAAGCTATAGGAGAATTAGAGTGTCCAATTCTAACAACTAACTATGATTCATTGCTCGAAGATATACTTAATAAAAAATCATTAACTTGGAATGAATATTATGCTAATGATATTGATGATTTATTGGAGAATCTTCAAAAATATATTCTACATGTACATGGATATATTGAAGACACAGATAGTATAATTTTCAGTAGCCATGATTATGATCGACTTCTTGATAATGAATTTGCACAATCTAAACTGAGAGTATTTATGGAAACAAAAACTCTATTATTTATTGGATATGATGCTGGAATTTCTGATCTAAAATTTTCGAACTTATTAAACTGGATATATCATGTAACAGGTAGTAAATCATTGTCAATGTATAAACTTGTTAAATTCAACCAAAATAACACATTTAATCAAATATTCGATGCTTCATTTTCAACGAATGTTAAAGAAGTTAAATATGGACATAATTCGAAAGATTTACTACAATTTGTTAAGAATCTCAAATCATGTATACCATTAATACGTGAAAGTTTATCATTTACAGACAAAAAGGAAGCCGTTCGCAAAAAATATTTGAATTATCTTATTAGTGAATATGGATATGTATCCATTTTTGGCTATTCTAATACAAATATGAGTTTACCTTTAGAAAGTGTCTATGTAGAATTAAAATTTGATCCAACACATCCATCGATAAAAGCAATGAAAATGTTAGAAATCAATGAAGAATTTAAGTGTAAACTTTTATCTCCTAGCTTTTTTAATGAGCACGAAAGAAAACAATTGAATAGAGCTATCCTAGAAAAAAATGACTACAATTCTGAAATGCTCTATAGAGACATTATGATTGATCAATGGTTAAATGTTTTGTTAAGTAACAAAAATATATTTACTGACAATGAAGCAACTACTATTAAAACTAAGGTGAATCGATTAAAAAACAGCATTATAGAAAAAAATAATTTCAAAGAAGCAAAACAATATCGAATCCAAGAAGCATATAATAAATTTAAAAATTTTATAGTCTTAGGTCATCCAGGTTCAGGTAAAACTACATTATCAAAATGGTTGATTATGAATATGGCTAAACAATGTTTAGGTGAGAAGAATATGTTATTTGATAGTATTTATTGTAGAACAGAAAAAATACCAATTCTTATTCCCATATGGAAATATGTTGATCAAGTAAAAGAAAATCAGAATAAAAAAAAAATCTTGTCTACTTGAATTTATTTATGAAAATCCTACTTTTGATTCAATATTTTTCAATGTTGAAGAACGAAAAGAACTATCATCATTGATTAGAGAATCATTAATTAAGGAAAATGTTTTAGTTATATTTGAAGGCTTAGATGAAGTTCCGGCTTATGTAGATCGATCAGATTTAATGAAAGAAATAAATACATTATTAGAACGAAGCATAGATTATGATGCAACATATGATAAACTTACTTATTCAATTTATGAACAACATGAAATAAATAATACTAAATGTCCAACTATTGGAAATCGATTTATTATAACAAGTCGTATCGAAGGAAATTATTTTGAAGATATAAATTTTTATGTTCCCAGATTAACTATTGAAAATATGTCTAATGATGCTCTTAAATTATTCTGTAGTTCATATATGAAATGCATTAATCAAATTTCTATGAATACTAGACGAGTTATTGAAGAATGTAATTGTGATCAATTATATAATGATATAACACAAAATAAAGATATATTTCATTTGGCGATTAATCCACAATTAGCTAGTGTGATTGCTGCGGTTTATAATCAATATGAAGATAAATTACCAGAGAAAAGAATTGATTTATATGAAAAAGCTATCGAAAAGATGATAGAACGTTTAGTAACTTCTTATATCGATTCTCCAAAAAATTATCTAGGTAAAGATCTTCAATTAAATGCTACTTTGTTATGGTCAATATTACAAGACATAGCTGAATATTTACATAGTAAAGTTGAAGGACTATCAGAAAGCATGTTAAATAAAATAATAAGAAATTGCTTAATAGATTATCAAAAAGAATCATTGAAGAATTCTCAATTACACATTGATGATTTGACATCGAAACTGGTAGATATTTTTAAATATCAAGCAGGTTTACTTAATGAATTTGGTCATAACAGTTTTCGATTTATACATCGTACCTTTCAAGAATATCTCGCCGCTAAAAGTATTATCTATTCTTATGGAATCGAACGATCTGAAAATATTATTTATCAAAATATTCATGATAAAATTGGTATTCCAAATTGGCGAGTTCCTCTCAGTATGACACTTGGAATACTAAGTAAAACAGTGGAACATAATGAGTTATTTACCAATATTATTACAAGATTGTTAAAAGATGAACATGATATATCTTATCAACAATCTTCTACACTTCTAGTGGTATTCGTCATCATAGATTCATTAAATGATATTTACTTCTCATCGACATATACAGAACATAAATTAATTCGAAAATTAGCCGATATATTATTATCTGATTATAAAAATATGTCGGGCTTTTCACGATTAAAAGAACATCAAGAATTACTTGAATCCTATTTCTTAAAATTGAAAATAAAATATAGTTATACACTTACACAGTGGTTTATTAAAAAAATAAATTATGAAGAAAATATTGCACCATGTGCCAATATTATTTATCAACTAAAATGGTACACTCCAATATTTCATGAAGTATTTCTAGAAAATTTACATAATGATTCTAGAGTTTGGAATTGGCCAATCGATTCAATCTTACGATATTATTCAAATAAAATTAAAGATCAAACAATTTTAAAACAATTAAAATTTAAAAGTGAAATAAATAAAAATTCTAAACTTATCAAATATATCGTAAACAATAATGATTGGTTATGTTTAATTACAGCTTTATATGGAGGATATAAAAATTACAATACTGAATCAAATATTTCAGAATATTATGAAATAGCTCAATTTCTTGAATTAAGTGATATAGAGAGGGCACCTTTTATTTATTATTATCAAGAAGTTTGGGATAGAGATGATCCGGCTTATAGTATGGCTGTGTATCTTGACGCAGCAGTACATAAAAAGCGCTGGACTGAAACACCCAAATTTGATATCAATGATATTTACAAAGAATCATTTTTGACAAATGAAATTCTTCGATTGCTCCACGATGAAAAATCTACAACAGAATTAATCGAAAAATTGCACAAACAAATCAAGCATGAAAAATTAAGTAGAAGGGAAAAAGTAGAAGCATCCATCACATTAATTGTTTTAGGAGACTTCGACTTCATTAATACTATTATTATAGAAGGCGAAAAAATGTTTATGAAGGGCTTGAGAAACAGAATAGAACAGCTTATTTCTACATTGAAAGATCCAATAGCAAGATGGTCTGCGCATATTCCTAAATATTTACTTACAATTTATAATGACATGAAAGCAAATCCGTTAAAATATAATATGAGTTTTTTACACTATTGCACAATATATTCATCTTTAATAGCTATTAGTGGAGGATTTCCAATTGACACCAAGATGTTAGCTGAAACTATAGAAAATGCTGAAGATAAGTATAGTTTATATGCAGAATATTTTGCATTTAAGCTCACTGGTGCTGATGATAATTTTCAAAATAAAATTACTGTACTATGTGATACAGTCATTCCTACAATTAAAGCTGATCACATAATGAATTCATTTTGAAAAATTAATGATGCTGTTCAGATTTATAGACCAGTTCGAGCATATCCATGGACTACTAACTTGTTTACTTTTAAATTGGGTAATCAAGATGATATACCAATAGCATTTTTTAATTGTATAGAGAATATCAATACAAATGTACCATATTTAGTAGATTGCATTTCTGAGAATTTCTTCAAGGAAGAATATTTCAATAGAAATCCTGATTTAATTACATTATTTGTATTATTACGTTTCGGAATTATGTCAAAAGATCTAGATAAATTTAATATATACGAGCATTTATTACCTGAATTAATGGAAAAATTCGATAAAAAAGAATTTTTATTTGAAAAAATTCAATCGATGTGTAATCCTTATTATAAATCAAGAGCATTGTATCAATTAGCTACATTCTATGATGAAAAAAGTTATGAACTATTAAATCAATCTTTTATACTGACAAAAAATATTCAAGAGTCATCTCTAAAATTTCAAGTTTTAGAAAAGATTTTTAGTATTGTTCATTATAAGGAAATTGAACAGAAACTATTCATTCAACAAATAGTTGACGAATTAATTTTAACATATGATAATATTGAAGATGTTTATAATCGAATTATTGCATCAATAAGATTATCGTTTTATGGATCAGGAGAATTTCGAAAGAAATATTTAACCAATGCTTTAGAAACACTTTATCAAATGGATGAAAATGATGACAAAATCAAATTAATTATTAAATTAAAACCATTAATTACTATCTATGATGATCTTCTAATCAAGTTTAATGAAATGATAGAAACTCTTAAAAATAAAATGCATCATTATATGGCTAATGCTTATTATGGAAGAATGTTATTTACTGAAACACGATCGATATTTAATTCAAACATAATTGTAGATCTGAGTGAAGATTTGAAAAATAGAAATGATAAGAATAATATGACAGATATTTCAAATTATAATGAATTACAAGGTTTATTCTTATTGTTTGCTCAATTGAACGACATAAAATTAGTAATTAATAAAACAGAAAGTACAGATCAATTATGGGTTCATCTTTTTAAAGATATTAATAATCCATCAACTATAGAAAAAATATTAAATAGCGGTTTACATGATGAAATATTTCTGACACCACAAATAGCCATTATTATTGATGAATTGATGCAAAAAGGAAAAGAAGATACTATATCAATTCTTTTCCCTTATATAATAAAACAATTCAATGAAGTATTACCTATTGTCCAGAAATGGTTTACACAATATAACAACTGTCAAATTAAAAATCTCGCAGCTCTCTTACTTGCAGAAGCCAAGCATGTTTTTGAACCTGCCGTTGATACAATTATAAATTTACTCACAAGCGATAATGATCAAATGAGATATAGAGCTCAACAAATTTTTCAACATCCTGCAAGAGATGTTGAAGTACCTACTAAGAGAATATCTGTATTAGGAGAAAAAACAATGATAAAGATTCTTGAACATGCTGTTGTGAAAGATTATCTTCCACGAATTCGAGTTTATCTTTTAACGTTTTTCTTCGATTTATTATGGGATGATTCTATCGTTTTTTACAGATTATTTCAGCATATGAATCAACTAGAAGAGAGAAACTCTACTAGTAATAGAAGAATACATTTTTTCAATAGACTTTACTTCATAAATAATTTTACTTGGAAGTCAATAATTGAAATAATGATACAATCATTACATCCATTATACATAGAAAAGTTACTTCATTCAGTGATGCATTTAGCAAAACGTTCTCAAATTTCAGCAGATGATTGGATTGAATTTGCAAGATTATTAGCAATAACAGATACATCACAATTTAAAGAAAAATTATATTTTTTAAATACAGATATAGAAAGAATAGAATTTATTCTTAATGAAGTTTCTGCTTCAACAACTATGGTTGGAAAAACTTATTTTGAAAATCTTGAATCAGTATTAGTCCAACGGACAACCATCAAAGTTGAAAATCTTTCACGGCAAACCTACGACCAAATCATATATATAGGTCGTTGCAAGTTTACTGTTTCAAATAATGCTAACCAAACAGTAATAAATTTATTAAACAATATTTCCATAAATATTATTCTCATGGAAAATTTAATTCAATGGTTAATACAAATAATGATTAGTTTCAATGGTGTTGATGATACTATATTTGCATTGATCTTAAGTGAAACTTTATTATCTTTAATCTCTGCATGTGTTCAAAAGGAAGATTATTTGTATCGAAAAATTACAAATTCTTCGAATTTTAATAAAGCTCAAATGATTAAACTTCTGGAAAGAATGCTTAATTATCATCCATATTTTCCAGCTAGAGGTAACGCTTTTATATTACTTTCAGCGATAGACAACTTTGATCATAAAATAATTATTAATATCATGAATACATTTTTTGATGAAAATATTGTAAAAGAATATTCTGTCATTGGAATTCATCTTATTCATTTATCTCCAAATGAACTTATCGACGATTTAATGAAATATTTAAAAAGTGAAAGTGCTATAAAAATCTATGAAACATTAAAAATTTTGACAGAATTTGCTTTAAATGAAAAAATAGATACACATACAAAGTCAAAAATTATGATTTATTTAGCAAATGAAATTGGACAATTTAAATCAAAGAAGCCTGTTAATTATTACTATACAGATATAAAAATTCCTTTTACAACAACATTGGAAAATGAATTGTATAAAGCATGGATTAAAATACAAGGACTCTCTGGTAAAACACAATATTCGATTAATATTGAAAAATCAAAAAAATAATGTAATCCAACTTCATATGTTTACCTATGTATGGAATGTATCATAATTGTTCTTTTTTTTTTTTACTGATTTTCGTTTCTAATATATACCATCGAGCACACGTATTAACCTTGAAAGAAGTAAATTGATATTTAATTTTAATGGTGTTATATTCATAATTGCATATAATCTAATTTGAATTCTATTCATCTACAAAATTTGTTTCAAAAACGTATTCGTTGTGCTCGATAGAGTATTAAATACAATATTGAATGCATAACTTTGAGAAAAACTTCTACCCACACTCGCAATTCTTTAAATTCTAATTATGGATGTCGGTGTAAAGTGAGGGTGTGTGTAAAAGTCAAATGCACATTTATACTCTTAATTGGGAAACGAACTATTTCTGTAGCTTTTATTTATTAAATATGTTCTGTAAATATCATGATATATGCCCGTAAATTTCAGCATAGCCTTTTCGCTGTACTTCCAACATATTTCGAAAATTTTAGATGATTCGAATGTTCTACGGTAAAGAAAAAGATGCCTTACGTAAACTTCACAGGTTCTGAACTTTGCAATTAAATCAAAATTCTTCAAAGTTTTGTACAAATTAGATTCCGATGGTGGGTGTGATCAAAAAAGAATCATCAAAACTCACACCAACACCAAAAGGCATTTTTGTTCTAGAATCTATAAACAGTACTATTTAACACTGTTATGATTCGTAGGACTTATGAATCATACAGGACAATGCAACGAGTTGGAACGACCACACAACGAAGAAAAAGATGATTCTTCACGAGACTCGAACCACTTACCTTCTGTTATGCGAGTAGATGTCCTAAACCAATTAGATTAGAAGAGATATTCTATCTTCGTATTATGTACAGAGGGGAATACTTTGGACATAACAAATACTGATATATTGAATTTTGTTGCAATTTTCAAAGCCTGACAGCGAAAATTTTACGAAAATTAATGCCTTTTTCGGTTTCTTTTAATCAGCAGGAATGGATCCTAATCGATGTTCTATTTTGCGCGTTTAATTTCATTCTCCCAAATATTTGTCTGATTGTTGGGTGGACTATTAATCGTAGTCGTCATGATTTTACAGTAAACATATTTCCAACTATGTAATGACACAATTTATCCCAGTCTACTGAAACCAATGTCATCATAAGCGCAATAGCACAAGTCACGAAAATCATTAAAAAGCTAAAAAGCAAAAGGTCATTTGGGTCTGGGTGCGGGGTGTTGGTGGGCGTGGGTGTGGGTGTGGGTGTAGAGTAGGTGCTGTACTTCTCTCCATTCACATCCACATCCACACCCGTTGTCAAGCACGGTATCAACGGCCACGTATTGTTAACATGTATGAATGATATTATTTTACAAGAATTAGGCGTAACGACAATTTTATATCGAAGATTATTTCTAAAAGCTATTGCTGAATTAAAAGACAATCCATGAGTACCTCAGCAATGGTAATAACTTAATCTTTATGTAGACTATTTTTTATTTCAGTTGATTGTGTCTGAGAATTTTTGAAATGAGATAAAAAAAAAGGAAAAACAAGTACTTTTCATGTCATGAGGGTGTAATTGTGGGTGGGTGTGGGTATGAGTAACTCGTGTAAAGCTATCCACAATCACATCTATGATGATAGGTACTTTCTTGTTGAAGAATGGAGTCCACTATTCGCAGCAACTAATCAGTTGCCGTAATTTTAGCTGTTTTTCGGAGGCGTTCTATCAAAACAAACGGAAGAGATGTGAATGTCACACTTTATAATATACGTTCTTAATACTATCGCAAAGTTAAGTGTTATCGATATCAATAAAATATGTCGAAAAATCTGTGAAGAGCGTGGATATAGAACATGTGTTGATGTTCCTTTCTCTCCCATATTTTTTTCTGTTTTGGCCCTGAGCTTGATCTTCCGTGTTATAAATGAGAAATTGAGTGTAATAGAAAGTCTTTCGAGAATGATACTGCAATCTTATTTTCTTGTGTTTTTGTCTACCAATGGTTAAAAGACAAAAGTGAATGATCGTTTCCATCATTTACATTGGCGTCGATATGGTATATATTTTGGTGTATATTCTTACACAGCCGATACACCCATAATGACGGTATGGTGACGACTGATTCTTCTCGTGGGTATCACAAAGTTTCAGGATTTTGCACAATATTCAGTGGTGCATAAGGGTAACACTTAGAGAATGAATGAATTTTATAGGTTGAGAATAAAAAGTCTAGTTCGTTACAGTGACAGCAAGGATTTTTGTAAGCCAGCGCCATAGCCATATAGTCACAGATGTAGTAGATGTTTATATTACATGCACATCTACATTCTTTTTTATTTAAGCAATATTAGTTTGTATTGCGCGTGGAATCGTATAGTATTTATTGAGACTGACTTTTCGTATATTTTTCAATTTGGTTCCAATATGTCAGATCAGACGAAAAGACATAATTCTATTGAAGCCACAAGATTTACACAATAATAGCTCAGAAGTGATTAAATAAGATCAAGATAAAAAGTTTGTACCTAGAGGTTTACGTGTGGGTATGCGGGTGTGGTTGCATGTGTGGGTCTTGTTTCCATCTATATCCACAACTACACCCACACCCACACCCTTAAACAATTGTTTAATTTATTTCGTCATCCTCGTGAAGAATATCGTATTAAAAAAAGAATTTTATATGTTATAATTTAGAGCATAAAATTTTATTGTCTATATATTCTTAATAAAGAATTCAATGGAAAAATTGAAAATTTTTCTTTTGGTCAATAGTAAATTTTGATTGCATTGACAGATCTAATTTTATGAAAAGTTTTCAAATACTATAATCAATCGTATTTTAAAGATATGACACTTGTCAATGGCAAGTTTCACTACCGATTCTATATGTATCAACTGCTAATATTATATTGTGTTCGACTCAAAGAGAAACGATAAATTCTTTGCTGTGTCAAAGTAATAAACAAGCTGTGTACTGCTATCTGTTGTTTAAACTGTGGATGTAGATGTGCGGAGTATGATTCACGCTCACACCCTCATATTATACAATAAGGGGAAAAGTGTGAGATTTTGTGTTTCGTATAGGCTTCACATGCAAGTTTACACAAAGTCGACCTCATGTGTGAGTGAGCGAGAAAAATTTTCAGATAAGAGAACTTAAAACTAAGCGTTCTCTCACATTTGAGTATGCTATGGTTGCAATCTCTTCTTTTTCGTCTTTCTCTCACGACCGAATTTCGTAATCATAACTAGAAGAGAAAACAAAGTAATGTGTATGCAAAGAAACATATTGATGATTAAGTGCTTTTGGCTTGGTTTGCGTCATGGGTTGAATGACTAATTTTTTTGGACCGTGAACTTCTGGACAAATTCATCACGGAACGCCCACAAGTGCAAATAATGAGAAGACTGGCATTCACATCCCATACCCTATGTTTACTAGAGAATCACCGCAAAGTTTTTCATGCCATACGTCTATATATGAACTGCTGCTTTTATGCACAAGTGCCATATGAGTACATTTTCGGTTTTCTTTTAATAGAGTTTTAGAGAATATCAAGTATGTATTCATGTTTATATGTGTCACTTCTACTTCAAGTATTTTAGAAGAAAATAAGAGATTTAGAAAAAGACTTGACTGAACCTTCTGGTACTCAAGAGCGTTAAAAATTCCAATGTAATTCAGTCTTTTGTGAACCGTAAATTTTAACCGTTAGATACGAGAATCTAGGAGTGTCTCTCTATGTAAGATTTTTTAGAAGTCCCAGTGAATCGCACACTAATTAACGACGTATCGGAACTCTCTGTATGAAATAGTGAAAAAGATCGAACCTGCTAGAGCGTGGCTTGGTGTGTGAAGTGGTGTGTTGTGTCGATCTAAGTAATGGGAAGTTGCATACTAGTTCCCATATCTACATAAAAACCCGTATTCATATCTTTAATTTCACCACGTCAGCTTTGCATAAGCAACCACTTCTTCCATCCTACCAACTGCTGATAATGATAACCATATCATATTATATAAGCAATTGAAGAAAGAAATATTGAAGAGCACTATCAAATTACTTGAGGTTGTCCAAAGTTTCTGACCCCAATATTTAAAATTTTATGAAATAGTAATTATCAAAAGTTATATTACCTGACTACATACTAGAGTGCCTTGTCTACAATGATATGTATCATAGCTCTATCTTGGATTGAGTGCTTACATTATTTTAGAAGAATTCCATCATATACAAGGCTGACTTGAATCGAGAGATATTGAAGTTTTGTTAGTATCTCTAACCAATCCATGTAGTTCCCATCAGATAATCTTGAAAATCGCTTTTCGAGTTTAAAATTGAAACTTAACCCAACTGAAGTACTCCACGAGATCCGTTCATGGTAAAATTTTCATGCCTTTTAATTGTTTCTATCCTCAGATATGAATACTAAAATCAAGCGTGCGACAAAGGACGTTTTGTTCTTATATTCATACCTGACGACTTAAGTAACTGAAAGGAATGAGACTATAGCCATGAGTTATTTTCATAGACAACTGCAGTCATGGAAAGTTTTAAGGCAAAGCTTAAAAATCGATTTTTGAGATGACCTGAGGGGGATCACAAAGATTAGCTTAAGGATGCATTAAATCTTCGATATCTCTTAAATACAGACCCATAGTTACAAACATTATGGGTTTAGTTCATCTTAATCAGCGACACCTTCGTAGCTGCCTAACTATCTGTAAGTAGAATAGCGAGTCAAAAATAATGAACACTTCGAATGTGCGTGGTGTTAGAGAAAAATCATTCTACTATCTAAACATGCAATAAAACTTTTGATATCAACTATTCAATAAAATTCTAAGTAACGTGATCAGAACTTTTGAACAATTCTAAGTGCATATGTATATATAAACAGACTTTGGTGTGGATTTAATCAAAACAAAGGCAATGGCCCGTGATTCAAAATCAAATACCTCATATACTCCTGTTTATCAAAGGTAAGTTAAAT